TAAGTAGTCATCTGCCTGTACTCTCCGATTCCCCCACAGACTAGCGCTAATGCTTGGTATGCTTAGATGTTCTGGTTTGATCTGCCGTTTCCAACGGCAATCTGGCCCTGCGCTTAGCAAACGCGCCAGAAGCATCATGGCACATGTCTGCTAGCTGTCAGGTCTTTATCCATGGGCGTTCCGAGCCTCGCCAATGCTCCATTTCTTGTGGTTTCCGAAAACTCAGTTTTCTCATCTATTGTGTATTATGGGACTTGTGGTGGCTGGAACGACTTGAATTTCATCCAGTACAGTAATATAGGCACAGGGACAGTATAATCTAGTGTTAGAACCTCTTGAACTGCTCCGATATCATTCCCACACAATTTACATCTTCCGACTTGACTCGAATCCCGCCCCAGGAACATCTGTCAAGCGGTATCCACCGCTGCTGTCATCGCTTAGTGGGCGCTCGAAGCCTGAGGATATAAAAGGCTCACCGATTTCACCTTGCCCATCATTCCCTCTCTCTCTCCTCTCCCACCTTCCTCCTTCTCGAGTTCGTTGTCAACATCGATGTCCGCTCCCTCCCACCACCATCCCCCTCATTCTTTACACGCCAATCCCCGTCCTCTGCACTCGCGATGTCCCGACATGGAGCTGGTTTGGGTGTTGAAGCCGGTGGTCACGGAGGTATCCGCTGGGTAGATGAGGCCACGATGGGGTCATGGCTGCTGATCCTTTGCTGGTCGTCGTTGTGTTGCCGCTCTCCGCCTACTTGAGCGCGTCGGAATGGATTCACTAGACGAAGTTGATGGATAAGGCAGGGTGGATCGACTTTGACTTGAACGGTGTGTCTTGCCGATATCCGCCCGAATGCTCTTACGCTAACTCGATTTTGAGGAGGCCATCGTTGTCGCGAAAGACGTTGAAGGTGTTGTTCGGGCACTTCACAACAAGTAAGTAATCGTTCTCCGCATTAACAATCCAAACTGACCTGAATCGCAAGTTCTTAACAAGGCTTCCCCCCAACGACGAGTCGGGTGCTGTCAACCCCAGTGCCAACGACCTGTGCAGTCCGTTTCCTTGTTGGTGTTGTCGTCGTTGACAACAGCCTGAAGCTCGTCATTGTCCCCGCCGAGACAGCGCAGGTGAGTTGTTTGGTATCGCCCTCGTCATTCCTTTACGCTGAACGGCATGCTTTCCAGAGCCCGGCCAAATTCGCTGTGAATTGCAGTCTCAATAACGTTGGCAACCAGCAGCGCAACGAAGAAAAGTTGTTGAGGTCGTCTGTCACGATCTGCTCAACTGTAAAGGCGCGGGACTGAGGCTCACCGTGGTTGCAGACCAACGTTATGGGTTTACTTGTTGTGTTCGAGACTGCCAAAGACGTTGAGCTGTTGGTACTTGTCATTGTTCGGGCCCTTAACAACAAGTAAGTTGTCGTTCTACACGTTGCCAATGGGGACTGACCCGACTCACAGGTTTTCGGCACGGCTTACCCAACGACGAGGCAAACGGCGTCGACCCATGAAGTCGGTCTAGTTAGAGACTGCTCTTGTCATCGACAGCAGCGTGTAGCTTGTCGTTGTCAGCGCCTGCTTAGAATCACCATCGGTGGTGTTGGCCATGAGTGGTCGTGGAGAATGGGCTGGGGTAGCGAGGCGACGAGATAGGGTCATTCTCGGGTGAGTTGTCGCTGTGGTGTGTTGACATGCGTTCCTGCGCTAATACCCGCTCTTTGAGAAGACCGCGATCATCGTCAAAGTCGACGCTTGGGGCAGACAGACAGCGTTCGTTGTTGGAGTTGGTCGGCATTGGACAGTAGGGCCATGGCGGGCCAAATTTCGCAAAAGACTGTCGTTTTTCCGAGGACCGGTCCGTCCTTGGGGGTAGGTAACCATATTGGTCTGCTGAAATCCGCCCACAGCTCACCTGTTACAAGCTATAGGCATCGTCTCCGGCTTGAATCGGCACATAAGGCGGGACTGTAGCCGTAAATGTTTGCGAGAATAGCCCTGAGTAGCCGAGTGAGCTTGAGATGGCGCCTGAGTGTTTGCCGGCTCGCCAGATACAGCTTGGGCGTTAGGGAGGAAGTCGAAGTTAAGATTATCGCGTGCCGTCACACACAAAATTGTGACTTGTCTTTTGACCACGACTATGGCCTCACACACACACGGTCAGTCTTCGGGCTCTACATTTACACCTGCCTGCTTACGCTCCTGCAGCTCAGCACTCACCTCTTCCTACGGGAATCCACCCGTGGCTGTAACCTGATTCAATCACTGCTGGCAGTTGCCAGAACATCAGATTGCAAAACACCTGGCTCCACCACCCCCCTGGCAAAGCCACTGCATTTTCAACTCTACCTCTGCCGACCCTGCTCACCCAGGTTGATTGATCCTCTCGTGCCGATACTCGCCGTCTAGTCACTTTCAGGGCCAAATCAATCCTGGGTAAATTTTGGGTAAATTCCAGCCCAGCCCCTACGCTGGATCGCTCGATGTAACTCATATATTGTATTTGTTCTCTATTTATGCGCACATACTTAGCTACTCCGACACTACACACACACACACATATGTATAAGGAAGGTGAAGGGGGAGGGAGACGGTGCGGAACGGGGCTGGGCAGCAGATTCCTTGCGGGAGCGGTAGAGAGATGAGCGGGCAGATGGAAAAAGTCAGAAGCAGGGGGGAAGGGGTAAGACTGTGGTCGATGCAGACGCCCAGACAGTGTAAAAATCAGGCCACGTAGCAACGCGGAGTCTTGGCGCAGTCTGTCACTGTCAGCGGAAGATTTGATTGATATATGGTACATACATTTCAGCCCCTACACGTACATCAAACCATTCGGGATGTCGCCAGACCACCAAGCACGATCCATTCGCTCTGTGCACCTACGAATGACAGTCCAAGTCACCGTTTTCGTCTTCGAGACTGGCAGGATTACCGCATCGACGGCGAGTTTGCCCTCGACGAGGTCAACGATGTTCATCAAATTCACGTCGCCCCCCCACATCTCCATGCCAGGCACCTCCGGCAGTTTCGTGGAGCGAATGCAATCATACCTCATTGGCACGCAATCATAGCGATAAACCACCGATAGGTACTCCGACTCGTCCAACGCTACCAAGGCCAGCCTCTTAATCGACTGGAAGCCAGTACGAAAGGACCTGGTGATCGTCCGACGAATGAACTTCTGTGTTGCGCTATCGATGCTCTCATGTTGGACACCTGCCATCCAGTCAGCTCAGGTCAATTGATGATTGGAACAAAGAAAAGCTCACGCCAGAGCGAAACCGCGAGGTTACTGCAGCACATCCTGTGGGACGCTCGATTGTTCCTCTGACACTGCTGGTTACAGTAATACACCTCCTTGCATGCCGAGCAAGTCTGGAAGGACGTTTTGGAGGCAACATGGCCACACTATCAAGACTCAGATTATACACCCAGGCTCAAATGACAACTTACCCCTTGGCATATTCCCTGCGACACGAGCTCTCTCCCCACCCCTTGAAGGACCTCCCACAGGTTTGTGCTTTCTTCAACTTGTTTATTGAGCCCCGACAACGATCTGTCGCTGCTTTCGTTGACGTATCGGGCCAATGTCTCTTTTCCTTTGGTAGCCTGCAAAACCTTCAAGACTCGTGGATTCCACATGGTCTGGCCCAGTGCGGAGTGCAAAAAGGCGATCACCTGTTGCTTGGTGTGTTGAGTGGAGTCCTTGTGAAGCAGGAAGTCCAATAAGACGGGCAGCGCCCGAATTCTTTTTTGAGTTGGTGAGCATTAGAACGATCGCCTTCGTATAGGTCTCCTCCGCTTGTGCTAACCACAACAGCAGGTTGACATTACTATCCATCGCCCCAGTCAGCGCGTTTCCCGTCAGTTCCGTGAAATCGTCGATCGTCAAGAGAGTGGCCAATAAGTCGATCAGCATCCCATATACTCCCTTCCGCCTCAGCTCGACGTGCAAGGCGGCGTTCAGTTCCTCACTCTTGTAGAATCGGTAGAGGAAGTTGAGGGAATCCACTGACATGACTGGTAATGCCCAATGGAAGGGCGAGTCCTTCAGGCCACAGACTTTTATCGTTATATCCAGAGAGAGCATCAGAATCTGCGCCGTTTGTCGAGCTCCGATGCGATTGACGAAATTTGCATTTTCGAAGTTCTTCTTGTCGAAAGCACCGAGCGCTTCCAGAGACCTCAATGCGAGATAGAATACGTCAGCCCGACGGTTGGGTGTTAGATTCCAGGTGGTCGAATGCGACAACCTTTGCACAAGCAACATGTCCTCGATGAGGTAGCGACACAGCGGGCCAAAGGCGTGTTCAAGAGCCCAGGTAAGCACAGCAGAGATCTTCGTCAAGGAAAGCACAGCATTCCTGGTTATTACCTGTATTTCGTCAGCCTCCGTAGCGCAAGCCAACGAGAGGTTCGGAGTTGTTAGTATTGGCAGCTCGCCCGGGTAGTTCACTGGAAAAATGTTTCGATTGCAGTTGGAGATAGTGCCCCTCCTTTATCAGACACTCCTGCCATTCGCAGATGTTCAGCCATATAGCTTTAGCGTCTGGTGTGGTGACACAATCGTCGTCTGCGTTTATTAGTAGCAACATCTCCCATGCCATAACATATTCCGTTTGTTTTTGGCGTTCGGCTTCCCTGGTGGCGTTGACCAAGGAGTTCGGCCACGGGGTCAAGCATCTTCGGTGTATGCTCCACGAAGAAGACCTTAATCCAGCGCCATGCAACCCGCCAAGCGTGGGCTTTGTCCTCCGCCTTCTCGGCTGCGTCGACGACTTGCGCCATTTGAAAGCGAAACTCAAAGAGAACCCGGTTTTCACCGATATTCTAGCATGATGATTCAACGAATTACCAGTGCCACTGGGCAATCCTTACCCAGAGCACGGTGGTCATCGGAGAAAGTGGGTAAGTCGCGATCGTCACATGCACGTGACGAATGTCACGTTCACACGTAACTGAGTGCCTCGACGCATTGTGACTCGACGCATTTAAAACATCCTACAAATTGTTGCTTTCTAGCTCAGCCATTCCACCAACCTCTGAGTCTCCATCCAGCAAATGTCGATACAGAGCCCCATCTTGAGCCATAACCTCTTTCACCGCATCCGAAACTGATTTCCGCCACTCGGTGTAGAACCCTTCAGCTATTCGTTTGTGTAGCTCCACCTGGCGAAGAGCATACGCGCGCAGACCATTCGCCACCTCTGGGTCGACAAAGAGTCTCGCAGAGGTGGCACGTGCTGCCCACTCGTTCTGCGCAAACCGCAATGAACGCAAAACACGTTTCATTTCTTCACGGATGAGTTCGACTTCTTCGTTCCAACGCGCGCGACGAGCCCTGGCTTTTGACCACTCCACACGAACAGCTATTGACCAAACCAGTCAATAATGACTTGAATGAAAACCCTTCACACATACCATCATGCATTTCTTCGGCTTCGCTTCCGATTTCGGCCTGCCAAATCCAAGACACTTTTCCGCGCGAAGGCGCTTGGTACTAGGTTCGCTTCGAGCACCTCTGGAACCATCGGCACCTCTAAGCCGTTGGGCTGCTTCAATGTCGTTCTCTTCCACAACTCGGCAGTTCACATCTGCATCTTCCAGCTTCTGAAACTCCGGGGCAAAGGCGGGCCCTTTTAGCTTCACGATCGCTTCTTGCGCAGAACGATATTTAGCCACGATTCTGGTGATGCCTTCTTCAAGACGCCCCATAAGTGTTACTGACCGAGTCCGCGCCTTTTGACCCACAAGATTGCGATCGCGAAACCAGATCATATGCGTCTGGGCGAAGAGTTTTTGCCCGCAGGGCAACCAAAGCATCGGTACATTGACCACGGCGAAGGTTGACCTCGGTGTCAACAACGCGTTGGACGCATGCCTGCAAACGCTCAGTATGTGTGAGGTCTGACGGCAGGTAAAGCTTCGTGTCTTCTGGTGGCGGAGTCGGTTGATCTGGGTTGCGTTTTGTATCGTCCGCTTGACGCAAGCCCTCGACCCCAGGCATGTAAGTTAATTGCAGCTTTTGGAAAGCCTGTGTTTGTTTGACGAGAGATAGTCGCAGCTCTTGAATCTGACTTGCACGGTCAGCTGTCAAGGACTTGTTTTTCAGAGCCGCACGGATTCGCCTCCTGCCAAGTGTCAATAATAAACGGAGAGCAGGAGTAGGTCAACCTACTGCAAGTTTTGCAATTGAAGGCCCGCTTTGATGAAAGCCACAACCGTCATCTTGCCTTCTAAGACAGGAATTCGGCCAGCCCTGACCTCCTCAAGCTCTTCCTTCTTCAAGTCTTGCACAATTTCCCGCTCGGTAGGGCCAGCTGGTTTTCGTCGTTCATTAGCCGAAACATGCAGCCAAGTCCAGCCACTGACCAGCGTTTCCACCCTGCAGAACAAACGGATTTGGTTGGGTCGTGTCTTTATACCAGTTGTCCATGAGAGTTCGCCATTGGTTTTCGCTTGACTTTGTTGATGCTTTGGTCGAATTCCGCAAATTCGTTGCCTTGACGCCCGGCGTTCGAGATGGCGACGATGAGTTTGCGAGACAACGCCCTTCCTAACAATGATTCGTTTGACGTAGTCAAAGAGCAATCCAAGCACATACCTAGTCCCAGATTTTTCTCGAAATTAAGATGATCCACCTTGTCCTCCAATACATCGTGTCGACCTCCTTCGCCCATTTCCTTCGTAGCCCAGCTGGCGGGGTTCAAACTAGCCCATATCCTTTCCATCGCCTCTCCATCGGTCTTTCCCATGCCCAAGAGATAAGCCAGAGCAAGATGTGCTCTACATTGAAGATCGTGCGCACCTGCATGCCAGACAGGCACGCCAAAAACCACCTCCAGGTCGTCGAAATCGGTAGTAAGCGTGGTTGTATCCGACCCCTCGCGAATTTTGGCCAGCCGTTTGAAGAAATTTATCATCCATTGGCAAACGATGTCATAGGCGAAGCCATACTCCATTAACCGCTCGGTCCAGAGTGTGCATGCCACAATCCAATCCACATTTGCATACCTAAGGTCATCCTTAAGTCGAAAAGATAAGCAACTTGGACGACATACCGTTCTCCCTTTTGTAGATCTCCTAGTCCTCGAGCTCGCACCAGCCCATGACGGGCACAAACACATCCGGCAACCCCAGAAACACGCAATCCGGTCGTTAAACGAGTCTCCTTCTGGAGCAGAGCAGCAAAGGCAACACAAGAGCTGACCTATTGGGTTACCATGGCATAAACCTCAGTCTCGCTGCCCAAAACAGTACTCACATCTTTTTCTTTGACATAGCTTCGGAGGTGATCCTTGTACGATGATGACTCCACGAAATATCCCAAGCCTGAGCCTAACGACAGGTCTTGATGCTCATTCGGTCGAAGGCGATTCTTGAGGCGAAAGTTCGCGTCGATGGAGAGGATTAATCGGTAAAGATAGCTTGAACGCATTACTATTTTTTCCAAAGATAGATGGGTATTCACCGTTGGCTTGGCTTCACGTTACGCCACCCCTCGGGGAGATTTCTTCCCTCCGCTGGACACGCCCAACATAATACTGCTAACCCACCGGGTGGCGTTGTAGCCATTCCATCAGCCTCGTACGCGCGACCCGCTCGCTTCATCCGCTTCAAGAAATCAAACTGTCGAGCCATCCGCCCAAATGCTTTGTACCGATCCTTGAATCCCATCAGTCTACGACGATCGAGATTATCGTGTGTACTTACAGGAGTGTCGCAGGTTAAGGTGGGGTCGCCTGACCTCTCCAAAGTCCGCATGAAGTCATGGACATTGAGGTTGCCAATGGTGCGGAGCAGACGAAACAGTTCAAGCACATTAAAGGTGGCACAGGTCGCTGGGTTGATGGTTGTCGCTGGGTACCATCCATTCCGGAGTAGTTGCTGCAGCATGTCAGAGCCATTGGTATTGTGGCAATCGCAGTACTGTATGTCAACGACAAAGATTCCATTGACGTCGATGACAACCATTGACCGCCGATTACCAGGGAAGGGACATGTAGCACCCGAATGTCCTAGTTGATACATAGCGCCAAGGCCTGAGCGCCCCCCGCTCTCCACTCGACTGTGGTAGAGCGAAACCTCTGTCCAGAAGCTCCCAGTCCACTCCTACCAAGCGAGGATCAATATGTCGGCCCACAGTGAAAAATGCTTGAGGCTGACCTGAATAGTATGCAAAGGTGACCATTGGTGCTGTTTTTTGACGCAACTTTCGCAGAAGATTTGCACCCCACATTGTCGGCATCGAAAAAAGCGCTGGCCGGCCTGGTTAACTTTGGTCGGGCAGACGGCGCACTGGGTTCGCTGACCCAAACCATCGTGTCGTACGATTTCGTCGAGAAACAACCCCGACACACTTTTCCACACCTCCATAGGATCATCCTACATTCTTCGTAAGCTCTTTTCTCGCATATTTCGTTTCAGGACACGTACCGACTCGTAGCGCTTGCGTTTTGTCACGACTTCGTCAAGGTCAACGTCGAAAGATGAGACTGACGTAGCCAGAGCATCTACCTCATCCATGGTGGCATCCGGGACGGGGACCCAATCCTGCAGTCTTGGGTCGGATTCGTAGACGCGCCCTTTTCGGGGACGCTTGCTGGGGGACAGATTGAAAGCACTTGTAACAACTCTTGTGTTGTCTGCAGATATATACGCATGCTCGTCGGTCGGGTTGAAGTCCGCATTCTCGTCGGGCGTACACATTGCGCTGCGCCAAAGTCAGTGGCGCCATGTCGGTTGTGGAGAGTGAAGAGGAATAAGGCAAGAAAAAATAAGCATCAACACGTAATTGCCACGCCACGGTCACGGGTTTAGAAGCGGCACGCGTTTGGGACTCGTTGATTGGGGATCAAAAATTTAGGGACAAGCGAATTAACGAAGCGCAAAGCTCTATCTACTGAAATTACGACTCAAGTCAAAGTTTTGATGAGAGGTAGGGTATTGGCAGATTATATCATAAGTTGAGACCGATGCCCCCTCAACTTGGCTGCCCAAAGCCATCCTAAGGTCCACCCGGCTACCATCAAACTCCTCCCCAAGCTGCAAGATATCGCCTTCACTCCCACTTAGGCTAGAGCTTGAGCGTCCGCGCGATATCGTGATAGGACTCGCCAATGGCGAATGCTCGCGTCCACCGGCGTTGCCAGTGGTTGATTGGGATGATGGCGTCGACTCGAAGAAGGAAGGATTCAAGGCCTGGAACGAAGAGGTTGGTTGAAGCCGCGTCAACGCTGAGAGGGGCATCCTAGGACAGACTCCGACAGAACGACGTCCACGAGATAAAATAGATTGGCCTGGGGTTGGATTTTGGGTATAGGCTAAAACCCGCGAACGCTCGGCCAACGCAAACTCCTGCACATCTGCAGGTAGACTCGCCACATCAAACCGACCGACGCGCAAACGGGGAGCTGGTCGACGAGTGGGAGACAATGTTGGATAGGTGAGGGTGCTTGCCCGTTGAGCCCTGTGGTCCATAATCTCCGCGTCGGCCTCTGCAGCGATGAGTTGACGTAGGACTGAGCTAGGTCGTTCAGTGGAATAATATTCTGCGTTGATATCAGTACAGCTGCAGCGAGAATTAGCTGCGTAGACTCACCAGGCGGACTCAACCAAATTGGAGTTCAGGGACTCGGAAAGATTCGCCGTTCGTTGACCAAGTTGCTTGGGGATGGCAAAGATCCTTCTTCAGGTTCGCTCTGGCTGTCGCTATCAGAGAGCTCTGCCAAGTCGGAGTCCGGGTCCTCATCGCAGGAGATGGTTGTCGGCGGCGACTGAGAAGAACGAACACTGCCAGTGGTAGCGTTAAGACGAGACTCGCGAACTTGAATGCATGCCGCTGGCAGTCACGGTCCTTGGGCTGCCTCCAATTCTTGGTCGTCGAGCAGGGGGGGAGGAAGTATCACTGCCTGTGGGTGTCGACCGACCACGAATAAGCGAGCGCCGGGCTATAGAGCATCGTCAACGTCGACGCCAAATTCAGAAAGGAACACAAACGAGGGGGGGTGTGGGGAGCAGACATTGTGAGTTGCTCAACTTGGACCGGGGAGGATGTTTATAACTTACTTACTGTTTCGATAACCCACTTCAAGCTGAAGCGTCGAAGCCGACAACCTCACGCTTAAATCGGGCCTTTTTCCCTGACAACCACAGGATCTCGATGACAATGAGGGGATCATGGAAAGAATCAAATCAAGTGTGAGTGCGTGACGCCGCCAAATGACCATCAAATGTCGCAAAACCCGAGCCAAATCCGAGCCACAACTACAACTACTTATCCGAAGGATTCAGGGTCGTCATGTCGTGGCTGACACGATGCTAAACTAATACTGACTCGGGCCCTTGCGCCGGGGAAATCAAGAAAATCTCATATTCAAAACACTTGCGGCACTTGCTTGGGAATGGCAAGAACTTCAAGCTCGAATGCTGCGAGGAGATCCCGAGCTCTCTACATCATCGCCCGAGTCTGAGCTTGGTACTACGCCCGGGCCTACTCGTAGCAATAGGCGGCTACTATTCGGTGAAGGCTTTCTCCCTCTTGCAACATTCACGACTGACTCCTCGTTAAAATCTTACAGTACCCCATTTCCGCCCTCGGTCAGCAGATGAAATCCCACAAGGCCACAGTCTTTTCGGCATGACCCCTCCAGTAATCCACCGTGTTTTCGACGCGCACACTCCAATCCCAACGCGCGCAAGCCTGTATCGTGGAAAAGCACGGCCACCCTCGATGTCGACCGTCGTCGTCACTGACTCTGCCGACTTGTGCGGACTTTGCGGGCAGCTACTGTCTGTTCCCGTGAGGTAAGAGGTGCTATTTGCTGTCCGTCCTCCATTTAACCTTGACCTATACAGACTGCGCGAAATTTCGCAGCATTTCCGAATCAATAATGACCCCTGCGGTCATCACTTCTGTTGCGTTTGCTTAACGCTTTGGCTGGTCGACAGACACAGCAACAGTTGTCCGACGTGCAGCCAGCGCATTCATTATCGACCCAATCTTGACCGTCGCCGGCAGTGGGCAATACGGCGAAAATACTCATGGTATGACGCAAGCACGGTAGATTCGTCTTTTCGTGGATTTCATTTCCCAGCCGAATTTCGCCTCGTAGAACTCCAGTTGTAAATAGCTACTCATTCTACAGCAATACTACTTGCTTTTACATGGTCGAACTTTAGTCGTAGCAAGTGATTGGAATGAGATTGGTCGAAGTACTAGTATTGCACTACTGGCTTTTCGCATTGACTCCTTTGTCCTTCGTCAAAAAGTCCAGGGTTGCTGCAGCATCGTTCGTGAGGTTTTGCACGACCCATTCCACATCGTCGACAGCCTTCTCCCAATCTGCAGCCGCCTCGTTGCCTTTATCCCATACTTCTCGGCCCCACCAACTTAGGGAGGCCACCACAACCCCCATCCCACTGGTGCCTGGTAACGCCAACCCACCCCAGCTACGTCTCTCAGATGCAACCTTGAGCAAATCATCCCTGGCGGAATCAGGAACGCGCCACGGAGGCTGCCGACTCCGCCACCAAGAGTTCCATTGTTTCCCATATGAAAGCACGTCGGAAATTTTCATGGCCTCAGGATTCCAGACGCGACCGTGCTTAAACCACTCGCCAATTTGACCAGGACGGCCCACTGCTGGCAATTTGGCGCGACGATCAAGGTAGCCGTATGCAGCCTCTAGCAAAACGAGGGCCTTGATCAACTGCACAAAGCGAGGACCGAGCTTGAAACGTGAGATGTCGGTGAACATATGCTTGAACCATGTCGGAGCGTCAGGTGGGCATGCTATCAACTCGGATGCAGGTGCGGCATTGTCAGCGTGAGGCACCTGGGAGGATGCAGCGAAAGCGACCTGCTGGCTCGACTCGAGATTGACTGGCGGGTCGTTTGAAGCCAAAGAGGAAGTTACAGCTGAATGTTCCGCCTCCTTCTCCAGCTGCTCCCTTGCCAATCTTGCCTCTCTGGCTTGTCTTGCCAATGCCAATCCCTGTTCGTGATATTATTCCGCGCTCTCGTTGAATCCTCATTTCTTCGGACTTGCGCCGCCGCCTCCCGTTGCACCTTAGCCGCGGCTTCACGTTCAGCTTGCTTGAGCTTTTTATCTGCAGCTTCTTTTTGTAAACGCGACACGGTCATTGGCGCTTTCAACTGCCCGCTTTGGGCGCTTGTGCGTAGAACTGTCATCGTCTGCCTGTTCTGGTCGCTTGCGCTTGTTTTTTTTGTGGGACGATAGCTGGTGCAGCGGTTGCGGTTTGTTGAACGATGGAAGATGCTGAGAGATCGCCAGTTGGCTGTGGACTTGGATTTGAAGAAGAGCCCGACGCAGCTGCCCCAGACGAGTCGATGGGCTGTACTGGGCCGGTGTTTGCTGCATAACCGTCAACATTCAGTGTCGTTCAAAATAAAACCTCACCATTCGTGTCCAGTTGCGTTGACTCTACCGTTGGTGATACCGTTGGAGTCGCCTTGCTCTTGGCTTTCTGCTTGCCCTTCTGAGTCGACTTTGCTGGTTCCTTCCTTTTTTTCGCGGTGACCGTCGCCTTGCGTTTGCCGCGCGCCGCACCTGAGTCGGTATCAGAGTCTGACTCGGAATCATCAGAGTCCGAAGAGTCAGACTCTTCCAAGTCCGACTGTGTGACTTGAAAATCAAATTCTTCATGGTCGTCTGGGAAGCGGAGTAGACCATCGAGTTGGGAAGGATTTGCAGGAGCTGGATTGGACGTGGATTGGGCGTTGTCTTTCGCAGGCAAGTGGACGTTGTCCGCGTTCTGGCCTGAGGGGCGACCCAAGGTCGCATCTGCTTTATCGGATTCCGCTACAATAACAAAGGTTAGCATCATTATGGCACACAGAGATTCACTCACTAAAACAACCTTCCAGATATTCCCTGAAAAAACCCACAACGTCCGTCTGGAACCGTGGCTTGTTGGAGGAGGGCCATGCAACTCCGACAGTGGCTCGATTTACGCCATGATAGACCCTGAAGTATAGTAAGTTGGAGTGAGAAAATAGGGAAGGCTTCGGTTACGATGAGGTCCAAATCTCGCCACCTTGCTCAGTGGGTTTGAGACCGCCAACCATGCAGAAGAAGTGGAGACCTGTCAGTTCCGTAAAGTGTGTAGCAATGGGCCAAATGAAGTCTTTAAAGTCTGCAATACATCTGAAGCCAGCTTAGCGCAAGAAGAACAACCCCCCAAGAAACAACTTACTCGGAACGGAATTCTGGGGTCACCGGCGGCCCCTCCTTATCGAAAATGGCAAGTTTTTCTTTGTTGGTTGTAGCTTCGTCCTGCGCCCTTTGCTCATACTCGTTCTGGACTTCCACTGGGAGGTTCTCGAAAATCTTCTTGACGACGCTCTGGCGAAAGGGAGCGTTTATAACCACAGGCTTCGCCCCGGGTTACTGTCGTTGATGCGGCTGGCCTCTTGAAGGTAGATGGGGCGAAGTTCCTCAGCATGCTCGTGCTGGTACTGCTGTTGAGGTTGGAGCTTTCGTTTGGGGCGAGGAACGGCTTTCATGCGGTGGAATAAAATGTTGTAGGGGCTATGAGTCCTTGCCCGTAAATATTTGCCGCGAATGTTTCGGGCGTGGTACTTGAGGTAGCGAGCAATGCTCTGTTATAATGAAGTAAGATGGATGTGGACTCAAACGAGAAAGCTTACTTTATTTCGTTCCTTGACAATCTCGTGCTTCTTTGCC